CTTACCCTGCTGAGCAGTATATTTTTATTTATTTATGTATTTACTTATTTATTGCTGCATGTCCACCATGGCAGTGCTCAGCTACCCATGCCAGTTTTAAAACAAAAACTTCCAAATGGTAGTGATTGTCCAGTGATCTGCATTTTGCCCAGTCATCTCATCCCTCGCTGCCACATCAACACTAACTACAGATGTACACATGTTGAAGTTAGGGTGGCCAATTCTAAAGAGAATTAAGCACCTTTTTATATATTCATTTTATTAAAAATGTTGCAGATAACAGACTTTTTCAGCATTAAAAGACAGTTTTTTTTTTAACACGGTGACCTTGTAAAAAATGTACAATAAAATATGCATTCAGACCTTGCCTATGTGTTCAAAGGTAATATAAATCAATTCCGTTCATATCTGAAAAGCCTAGTTTTTTAAGGCCACCTCAAATGTTTCAACCTTTCTATTAATCAAATATTAAATATGAACAAACCGTGAATTACAATTGATCATTTTAATGACATGGAAAAAGGTTAGGCTGGATTATTAAAGGAGAGCTATCATAAATACAAGCTTTTATTATGTTGCTGTAAATTGAACTGAAGACTTTATAATATTATATTATTACAACATATTGCATCATGATTTACTTCACATTTAGGGCTCAACTGATCTTAAATTCTCAAATGAGAAAAACATGACAGGAGAAACATACTTAAAAAAAAAAGCCATGTTCTTAAAAATTAAATTGAGTGGGTAAAGCAATTCTCTTTTCTGTAGTGGGTAAAACTTTTGCTAAAATAAACCTCTACTGGGAGAAATACCTAGACTGACATTGCCAGCCTCCTTCTGAAAATACTATTTACCTACTGGCTCTGGAATAAGTATTATTAGGGCACAGACCTATAATAAACATGCAGATAATAATTCCAAACTATTGACTGCATTCTTTTTCTGATTTAATGACACAAAGTACTACTGAATCAGCCTGACAGCCAGGCAAATAGCATATTCACAAGGAATGAGGGGCATGGGAACAATGATAATTTTTTTTTATGAATTTAAAAGTGAGGCAGGTAACGAATCCAACTATTATATTGCATGTTTACTGATCTCTGATTGGAAAGAAAATATGTGAAAGTGTTAAAGTATATGTTAACTCTTATCTTGTAAAACAACCCATGTAGTTTAAAATAGAAATGAAATGCAAAACATTTGTGTGCATGTCTGAAAAACATGATAAAATATATTTTTTGCTTTCTCACATTCCCTGTGTTCTCAGCTGCACGCGGGTTTAGAGGAGCTTAGAGAGGTGTGGATGGAGAAACAGCAGAACACTGATCATTGGAGGATAGGGAAGCTGTTCTCCCAGCACAGCCAGAAAACTGACCATACTGAAATGAATGTGCTCTCATGAATAGTGTGGTCAGTTTGAAAAGGAAAGCAAGGGGACTGGCAGGATAACAGGTATTTTACACAAAGAAAGCAATACAAAGAGAACACGATGCATTTAAACCAAAGTACCTTGTACAGCAGGCATATATCAGGAATTTGAAATTTTGGGTTAACATATTCTTTAAAGGTTATATGTAGTGATTTTAAAACACTCTCATATTAAAGCAACAGTTTGAGCTGGGACTACATAGAAAATGGACAAAGTGAAACATTTTAAAATACTGGGAATGCACTGAGTTTAGTAAATAAGGTGCAACTGTGTTCTCTTACTTCAACCAATCATGTGCTAGTAGGATCCTTTTTTAAAAAATGATTTTCCCTTGCCTTATTTACCACATTCACTTTGGAAGGGGAATGTTCATTTATTTAAAGTTGAACTAAAGGCAATTTGTTTTTCATTTTGGACAGAGTGGGAGTGGATTATAACCCCTGTCAGTCTCATAGCCAAAACAGAAAGTAAGGAAATCCCTGGTTGTCACCATCATCACCAGAACTAACATCCCTACTGGAAGCCTTTTCCCCTATTCCTGTTCTGGTGACATCCCAAACTTTGGGATTTTTTTTCAATTTGGTAATAAAGGTAAACAGGATATATTGGAGGGGCAATCTCCCTAACAGAGGCTCAGGAAGCAAAACCTGACAGGTGTTCTAATCCCTCACCTTTCTATTCAAAACAAGTTAAAGTTTTGCCTTTAGTTATATTTTAAGTGTACAGATTCTATACGGCAAACAAATGTTTCCAGGATCCAACCCCTGGCCAATGCTCTTATAGCATACCGGAAACAGATGCTGCTTAAACAAATCAGTAGAGTCTGGTAGTGTACCTAAACAAACAAAACATTTTGCAGACATCTGCAGCAGATGGTGGCCGATGGATGATGGGCACTTGCTCTGTGTGGCTGGAAGCTCAGTCTTTGTGTAGTTGGTAAGTCCCTTTGTTTCCCTACCAATTACACAGAGACAGGGTTTCCAGCTATAAAAATCAAGTGTCCACCACTTTGTCTGCTGCAGATGTCCACTTCCCACTGGGTGTGAAGTTTGCATTATATCTACATCTTTTCTAGATTGTTAGTTTTAATTATAATAGAGAATTATTGCAATCTTAACCACTGTCTTTGTTTTTTTGTTGACAAGCTGCAGCACAAAGCATTGTGGTGTGAATGGACCCTAAGGGTAGTTAGGATTGTTTTTAAAGAGACAATATTACTTTGACCAATCATCACCCGCAGTTAACTTAAATATTGGATGGTGTCACAGGTTACTTGGGTGGATGAATTCACTATCCCCCCATGTGACAATGTTTGGTCCTGGTGACCAATTGCTTAGGCCAGAGAACTGTTCCATGGAGAGGTCACATGCTCCCCCATGCCAGGAACCCCCATGCCAATGGAGCGAAGACTGTGACAGAGAGGGGAAGGCAATAATGGATCATGGATGGTAAGTATGGGTAAGCATATATTGCTGAGGGGTCAGCAGACTGTGTCTCTTGAAGTGCTTTTAAAATGTCATCTGCTAACAATGTCAATATAAAAGATTTTCATCAATCTGAATCCTTAATCCTTAATATGCATGGCTAAAAGAAGAGAAAAGGGCCAACACCAAGAATTAGCACTGAAGACAGTATGCCATCAAAATTAATGGCTAAATCGACACACACAAAAGATGATTATCTCATGATACAAAATTTTTGGCGCAAACAATCTAAACATATTTTTTTTTTCAACCACTAAGTAGTGCAAGGGTCTGCCTGATTGGTTAACATTGAATTAATTCTTTAGCTAGCCTTTCAGTTTCATCTTATATTTATGCAAATCCAAGTGAGGTTGTACAGAGATTATACAGTTAGGTTCTTAGATTATGCACAGCTTTACAGCTTACATAACATACATGATCACACTGAACAAAAAACAATGTTAATTACAGATATCTGACATGTTTGAAAGTTTCAACAAAACTGTTTTTTTTCTGGATGGGAAAATATAACTCAAATGCTGCACATTACCACCTATAGGAAGCTTACATAGAGCAGTGAAGGTACTTGCCAAGTTAAAAAACGATCTCCCCAGGATATAATCATTTGGAAGCAAGCAATCAGAAACCCTTGTGTATGCCCCTGAATATATTTCTTTCACACGTCTAAAATAGAATCAGAAGTAACTTTGAAATAAATGTACCATGAAAAGTTTTGACAGTAGAAAACTGCAGACTAATATACAATAATATGTTCATCATATACACAGGAAGAATAATGCACATGTGCTTATTTTCAGTTGTGGTCCTGCAGTTTGATTACCTTGTGAGAACATAAATCAGTCAGGTGTATTACTTTTCACATTGAGTCATTTTTCTTGTATTCTGTAGAAATAATTGCCGGTAGACGCTTGCTTTGAGATCTTTCTCACGCCTGTCTTAAAATGTCTCCCGAGAAACATATTAGACATGCAGGTGCAATGAAATAAAAAGTAGACTTCAAAACAAAAAAGTATCCACAGCTGAAACCAAAATAATACAAAGCTGCTATGCCGATATTTAGCTAATAATTTGACTTTATTTGTGAACAAATTCTAAATTAAGTGTAGTTATAACAAATTAAGTCAGCACTGGTTAAATGTTTCTAAATGCTTAGCTCTTTCTATTATGTGGGATTGTGTGTGTAAAGGCAAACCTTTTTTTTGGATGGAGTACGTATTGGTTTAGATCTCTGTAAGGTCTCTTTTTTTTGCTTTCCGTATTGGGTAGGTTTCAGTTAATTTTCTGTCCCAGAGACAGAGCAGGAAGTAAGAGAAGATCTGTTAGATGTAAGGCTATATCTTTGGTCATTGAGAGTGGAACTGCCCTGGTTTGAGCAGGGTTCGGAGAACTTCAAAGAGGTTCGAGTGGTGAACCCAACCCCATTGAAACCAATGGTACCCGAATCAGTCAAGTACAAAATAAAACTGTGATTTTTTTTTAAATGCTTAAGGTAAAACATTAAAAATGCCTCATTTCTTTAACCTCCCTGGTGGTATGATTATTTCAGATTTTTGGTGCTGAAAGCGGTACCATTATTTTGCATGGAAGTTTGGCGTTTATATTGTAGGCCTGTAATTCTTAGGAATAACTCACTGAAATCTATCCGAACTAGAGTCTAGTAAACATCCCGGGTAGGATGAAACTTGAAACACAAAATCATTAATTATAATTTAATAAATAATCATAAAAAAATAACATAATAATAATAAATTTAATTCAATAATATAATCAAACCAAAAACACTGAAATTTGAAATATAGCGCCAAGTTCGCATATCACTGAGCAAAGTCGCAAAATCGTTTTTAGTGTCTGATGACGAATTTCCCCATGAATCATTATCACTCAATTCTGCAAGTGGTTCTGATTTACTATCGCTGTTCTCTAGCTGGTCTAAAACTGCTTTTGACCTAAAGGGACGCTTTTTGGATGCCATGGACAGTAAAAAGAAAGAACAGTAAAAATTCAGGCAGGGCACAGGACAAAGCACTCGGGACAAAATGTATGTGAAATGGTTTGGTACAGTAATGTTTTACTATGTGATTTTAGTGATTTTTGTGAATGTCACTTTTTGTCATTTTCAAACTTCCCACCGTTCCGTCCCCTGTACGTCCCGACGCTCGCAAAGGACAGAACCCAGATGACAGATGCTGGCATCCACCGAATTACATTGCCGGGGACACTGCAGGAGGGACATCGCGGGAGCGTAGGACAAGGTAAGTGACCGAGGATCGCAGAGAAGCGCCGCATGGTAAGCCCGAGTGTAGCTCGGGGTTACTGCTTGTGGTACTGAAACTTTACCCCGAGCTACACTCGGGAATACCTCCAGGGAGGCTACATAACATGCCTTGTGTGGGTGCACTAATTTTGGCTGTGAATGGGTGTATCTTTGTTGTGTACATAAATTGCTGCTGCAGCAGCACTGACATTTCCAACAGAATCAAATGTTTAAAATTGCCAGTAAATGACATTTCATTGCAGGCTTCTTTGGAAAAAAACAGGGCACAGACCCCAAGGATGTGCTATGTATTTTGGGGGGCCTTTGGAAGGGTCTGTGTGCTGCTTTTTTTTTCAAGAAGCCTGGAATGAAATGTAATTTGGTTTGGTTTGAAAATGTCACTTTTGCTGTAGCATATTTACAGCAGGAATTTAGACCATTTGAGTCTGGTACCTCATGCAAAAAAAAGAAAAAAAAAATTCTTGAGGTCCCTCTAAAAATCCATACCAGACCCTAATCCAAGCCTGCAGTGTGGCTAGTCAGGAAAAGGGGCCAAGTGCACTCTTGAACTATATCAAGCAACATGGGGATTGACTTGCTGTGGAGGACCCCCTGGCAAAACATCTTGTCCCAATGTTGATGAAGACAAGGGCTTCTTTATCACAACCCTGGCAGGTGTGGTGGTGTCTGTAGGAGGAGGACTTATCAGGATCAGGAAACCTTAAAATTAAGGGGTCCTCCGATACCCTCATATTATTAAGTAGTACTCCTAGTCATTTGCAAAAATGTATGTATTAGACCTACTCATTCGCTTCTACTAAAGCTGTGACTGCTTTCTAAAGCAAAGAAACTTTGTAAATAAAGATACCCAAACATTTGACAACAAGTTCTTTATTAAAAATTATTAAAAATCCCAACAAATGTCCCTTGCTGTAAATAACTTGTTAATCAACTTGTTGTCCACTTTCCATCTCAGGGTCAGGTTTTTGGTGTATGGTGGAGAGAAAATAGATCAGATACCACATTAGTTATCTTTTTTTACTGAACTGAATTCTAGGGGATAGAGTTTTGAAGCAGGGGTGTATTTGCCGCAAGGCAAACAAGGCGTTTGCCTAGGGCGGCACTTTTCAGGGGGGCAGCGCAGCCCCCCCCTTTCCCATGGAACTGACACTTAGGACAGGGGCTGCTGTTATGTGTCTTACCTGTGTCCATGTCCCACTTCGATCCGGTCCATGAGGGTGCTTCGATCCGGTCCACGAAGGAGGGGTAGAAAGGGTGTCCGGTATCTTCATTTCCCTGGTGGATGATTTTGGATCGCGATGTGGGCGGGATGACATGCCACCTCTCTCATCTGGCCACACCCCCGGCATCATTGGGCGATTTTGATGTAGGAATTCCCTGGCTGGACTGACATTCAGATTTACAATAAGTCATGCACATAGGAAAGACCATATCCTTCTTTTTTCTACTTCAGTTTGTAAAACATATGCAATCAATAACAAGCAAGCCAGTATTTGAAAATGTTTATCATTGAAAAGGTTTACTCATACTCTTCCAAATCATCACAAGTAATGCCACCGGTCAGTACAAAGGCGACCACAAACATCACCTGTCCTTGACTTTCATTGCCAAGATCTGCTCAGATACCAAACCACAAGCATGGGAGACACATCTCTTAATTGATCTTTTCCAAATACACACAAATAATAATGGAAGTTGATATATATTCTGAAGAATGAGGGGTCAAAAATATACCTTCAACAACAGAAGAAAAAAAGCCTTGTTCATGAGGCATTTGATACCAGGCTTTCAGCAAAGAAACAAGTGCTAAAAAAGGGGCAATGCACACACACACCTGAGTGCCCCAGTCACAATGTATTAACTAGATATAATAGGGATGATTTACTAAAGGCAAATAGACTGTTTGCTTTGCAAGGAAATTTGTACATTGCAAGAGAATTTTCCCCAGAGCTTAGTAAATGTGGTAAAAATTTATTTTGCAATCAATTTTCACAGTCAAGAAAAATTAAACATGATTGGATGATGCCAGTTAGCAGAGCGTCAGCTCATTCACTAAAGTTAGAGCGAATACCCATGCAAACACAGATTTCCTTGCAAAGTGAACAGCCTATTTAATATCACTCCCAATGTATCAGTTCTTTTGCCAAACAAATAGTGGGAATACTCTACATTTGTAATACATTTTTTAATTTATTTATGGATGGTTTTCCAAAGAGTAATGAATTTGCTTCAGTATGCAAATTAGGTCCTTATTATACAAAGTGGAAAAGCATCCAGATATTATTTTTAACTTTGGAGAGTGCCAACTATTGCTGTTTGTGTCTTTTTGGGATAATTTACCTTCACTTTTTGTCTTAGTGAAAAAAATAAAGAAATATTCAAAGTTTGATAGTGTTTACCAGACCGAAAGATTTAAAAATATCTACTGATAAGAAAGTTTTTAAGAGTAGAAAGTGACAAAGTAAGATTTGTAAAAATAGGGGATTTTATTGTTGACTTTAACACCTATGACTATCAGTCAGAAGATCTATCTTTTCCCCACTCTATGTGGAATTTACTAGAAGAAATGTTTTGGTCGGGTTTGCATTTTAATTTCTTTGCACATGCACTGGTTCAATTCCCTTAAAGCAGTTGTAAAGGCTGAAGGTTGTTTACCTTCATGCATTCTATGCATGAAGGTAAAAAAATTCTGTGCACATCAGTGCCCCAAGTCCCCTCAATACTTACCTGAGCCCCATCAAAATCCAGCTATGTGCACGACAGCCTCTGCTGTCCCAGGTATCTACCTCCTCATTGGCTGAGACAGCAAGCGGGAGCCATTGGCGGGACCAAGCCACGGCTCCGTGTGTGAATGAACACCCAGAACAGAGGGTGTCCCCATAGCAAGCTGCTTGCTGTCGGGGCACCTGACAGAAATGAGGAACCAGGAGAGCCTGTGTGGGACCCAAGAAGAGGAGGATCCAGGCTTCTCTCTGCAAAACCACTGCACACAGCAGGTAAGTATAGACATGTTTGTTATTTTACAAAAAAAAAAATGAACCTTTAGTATCACTTTACTTTGCTTAACAAGGCTAACATGCTATATCATAAATCCTACAAATTAAAAAAATAGTCATGACAATGTCTAAATTGGCCTGAAAATTGCTTAATGGTGTAGAAAAAAAAGTTGTATCTATCTAAAGTGAAAATATTTTTTGTTCCATTTCTGGAGGTGATGGTTAACCATTTGATCTTTGAAAGGTTTTACCCCCTTCATGACCAGACCATTTTTTGCCATGCAGCATTGGCTACTTTAACTGGTCATGCAACACTGTACAAATATGAAATTTTGTGTAATTTTTTCACACAAATAGAGCTTTGTTTTGGTGGTATTTGATCACACTGAGTTTTTCCTTTTTTTGCTATATAAATAAAAAAAGACTGAACATTTTGAAAAAAAAACCCTGGTATTTTCTACTGTCTGTTATAAATCATATCCAAAAAAAAATAAAAACTCTAATTTCTATATAAATTTAGGTAAAAATGTATTCAGCATTTTTGTTGAAAAATAAAATAATCCAGATAATTGTATAATAATTGGTTTGTGTGAAAGTTATAGCATCTACAATCTATGGTATATGAAATGTATGCAGCTATGACACTATACTGGTAATGGTGGTGATCGGTGACTTATATTGGGACTGCGATAGTTTGGTGGGCAATCTGGTGCTAGCTGACGCTGGCTCTGAGGTACTCCAACTGACTGACCCAATAATCAGTGTTAATACTGTACACTGTCACTGTACTAATGACACTGACTGGGAAGGAGTTAACATTTAGGGCAATCAAAGGGGTAACTGTGTGCCGAACAATGTGTAATGTACTGCTTTTACTTTACTATCTGTCTGTTTTTTTCTCCCTGCTACAGATCACTTAACGACTCTGCATCATGGGTGTGACTTCTCTGAATTGCTGATGGAAGGAAGCAGAGACACTTCCCTTTGCATGTTCAGATCTCATATGCTTTGCTTAGGCAGTGTGAGCCATTGACTCATGTTGCTGTCAGTCAAATCCTGTGACAAGGGAATAGGGCCAAGCTGCGCTGTCTGTGTCTATGGACACAGAAAGCTTGGATCGGAATCAAGCCCAAAAGTGTGCCATGATAGGAAGTTACTTCCTATGGTGGCACACCGAGAAGAGGCAGAGCCAGGAGTGCCAACGAGGGACCTGAGGTTCAGGGCCACTTTAAGCAATTCCATTGCATCAAGCAGGTAAGTATAAACCTGTTTGTTATTTTTTTTTAATGAGTTTACAATCACTTTAAATGTGTCTACATCCAACCATAGTGACTAAATAGGCATTCCGTTGCAATTGTACAAAGAGAAAAAAAAGATGTGTTCAGTGTATGTAATCCTCATGTGTACATACAGCTAAACACATTTTTTCAGGTTAGTGTCCTTTTAAAATATAAGCAGTTAGCTTGTTACACATATTCACTAATTCACTTATTCTAGTTCATGATGAAGTGTCATATTAGTTTTCCTTAACTCATGGCAATCCATCAAATTTCAGCAAAAGAAATCTGATATATATTTTTTTAATATCTCATCAATCATCTTGGTAAATGCTGACAGTGCTTTTGAAAGCAGCAATATGAATGTGCAATTTGTGGACAATCCAGGTTGAGGACGCAGGCTTCATATGAACACATAATAAGGCACTCGATAGGCTTGTAATTGTAACCTGCATTTTAAGAAAAATGCTGGTCGATATTAATCTATTATATTCTAGCATAATATCTATAGATATATTACCATGTTTGGAAATGTTCACTGTAAGAATTAGAGAACAAACTAAGTGTAAGCTGGTAAATGTGCTAGATTTTGATATGCAAAGCAGTTCTTTATTGGGCAGACAAAAACATTATAAATACATAGTTCCCAACTGTCCCTGATTTTGAAAGACTGTCCCTGATTTCGAACAAAGTCCTGCTGTCCCTCTCTATCCTCTTTTTATATAAAATACACTATTTATCTTGCTAGAAGTGTTGAAATCTTGCTAATGGTGCTAAACCTTTCATCCAGTTTCTACATTGTTGCATTTGTAAATTTCAAAAGCCAGTATAAAGGAATAGTAGTGGTAAAAAAAAACCCGCACTTGTGGGTTTAACTTAATTTTTTTGCATAATTCTCCTTTAACCTCCCTAGCGGTCTGATTACCGTATTTTTCGCTCCATAAGACGCACTTTTTTCCCCCCAAAAAAGGGGGAAAATGTCAGTGCGTCTTATGGAGCGAATATGGAGCGGCCGGTCCGGTATTTCCACCGCCGCCGTGTCAGAATACCTCTGCAGCAGGACCTTATGAAGACTGCTGACCTTTGGGGAGGGAGGGGGAGCGAGTACCTGAATTTGACAGGTACCCGCTCTTACTTCCGCGGAGTTGTTCTTTGACCTTACCTGTTCCTCTATCCAGCGGCGCGCTGTCTTCCCGGCTTCTGTAGTGTGGGCGCTGGGCATGACAGCCGGGTGCCAAGTGCGCATGCGCAAGAAGCGGTGCTGTTTGTGAATGGTAAGGCGGTACCTGGGACACATGACAGATCCCAGAAGTCGCCGGACCAATCACAAAGCGCAAGTGCTTCTCGCTCATGCTCACTGGGCACCCGGCTGTCATGCCGAGCGCCGACACTACAGAAGCCAGGGAGACAGCGCGCGGCTGGATAGAGGAACAGGTAAGAACAACTCCGCGGAAGTAAGAGCGGGTACCTGTCAAATTCAGGTACCCGCTCCCCCCCTCCCCAAAAGTCAGCAGTCATCTCCTGTACTGTCCACAGTCTCTGGTCATCCCTGTGCTGTCCGCAGTCTCTGGTCATCCCTGTGCTGTCCGCAGTCTCTGGTCATCCCTGTGCTGTCCGTCTCAGTCTCTAGTCATCCCTGTGCTGTCCGCAGTCTCTGGTCATCATCTCCTGTATCCCTGTCCGCAGTCTCTGGTCATCTCCTGTACTGTCCGCAGTCTCTGGTCATCCCTGTGCTGTCCGCAGACTCTGGTCATCCCCTGTACTATGTCTGCAGTCCATTAGTTCAGAATTTTTTTTTCCTGTTTTCTGCCTCTAAAACCTAGGTGCGTCTTATGGTCAGGTGCGTCTTATGGAGCGAAAAATACGGTATGTCAATATTTCTGTGCTCAAAGCGGTACATTGTTTTCAATGGAAATATGTTGTTTTCTTTATTGTAGGCCTGTAATTCTTAGGAATAACTCTCTGAAATCTGTCTGAACAAGAGTCTAGTAAACATTCCAGGTATGATAAAATTTGAAACACGAAATCAATAGTTTTTCCCCCCAGCCCGTGCCCCATCCTCTCCATCACAACCAACAACGCCACCATCAGTCCCACCCCGCAAGCCAAAGTCCTAGGTGTCACCCTGGACTCAAACCTGTCCTTCCAACCCATGCCCAATCGCTGGCAAACTCCTGCAGGCTCCACCTCCGCAACATCTCCAAGATACGTACGTTCCTAACCCCAGACACTACTAAACAACTCGTTCACTCCCTTATTATCTCACGTCTGGACTACTGCAACTCCCTTCTCACCGGCCTACCTCACCACAGACTATCCCCGCTTCAGTCTATCCTGAACTCAGCAGCCAGACTCATCCACCTTACCAACCGCTCCGCTTCTGCCCCCCCTCTGTCATTCCCTCCACTGGCTTCCGATTGCCCAATGCATTAAATTCAAACTACTGACATTGACATAGAAAGCCATTCATAACGCTACCCCAAACTACCTCACCGACCTGATACCCAAATACCACCCAACCCGTACTCTTAGCTCCTCACAAGACCTCCTACTTTCTAGCTCCCTGGTCTCCTCCTCCCCTGCCCGTCTCCAGGACTTCTGCAGGGCTTCCCCCATCCTCTGGAACTCACTACCCCAATCCATCAGACTGTCACCTACCCTCCTCACCTTTAGGCGCACCCTGAAAACCCATTTCTTCAGGGAAGCCTACCCCACTCTCACCTAACAGCCGATCTCCTCCACTCTTCCTACCACTCCATCCCCCACAGCCGTTTCCTCCTGTGCCACTATCCCCTCCCTCCTAGATTGTAAGCTCGAAAGAGCAGGGCCCTCGAACCCCTCGTGTATTGTTTTGTTGCTGTATTGTCTCCTGTACTGTCCCCCACTATAATGTACAGCGCTGAGCAAACCTTTTGGCGCTATATAAATACTGTAATACATTATAATATAATAAATAATCATAAAAAATAATAATATAATAATAATAAATTTAATTCAATAATGTAATCAAACCAAAAACACTGACATTTGAAATATAGCGCCAAGTTCGCACATCACTGAGCAAAGTCGCAAAATCGTTTTCAGTGTCTGATGACGAATTTCCCCACGAATCATTATCACTCAATTCTGCAAGTGGTTCTAATTTACTATCGCTGTTCTCTTGCTGGTCTAAAACTGCTTTTGACCTAATTGGACGCTTTTTGGACGCCATGGACGTTTCTCAGTTTCCATGCAGAAAGAACGGTAAAAATGCAGGCAGGGCACAAGCACTAGGGACAAAATGTATGTGAAATGCTTTGACACTGTAATGTAATACTATGTCACATGTTTATATTTTTGAAATTCCCGCCGGTTCCGTCCCCCATATGTCCCGTACAGGGGCGGACTGACCATATGGAAACTCGGGCACTGCCCAGGGCCCGGGGTCAGTAGGGGCCCCATGAGATGCCTCTGGTACCTTTTTCATAGGCTTTTTTGAGTTTGGGCAAGGACACAGGGGCCCCATGATCCCCTATTGCCCGGGGGCCCCATGAGTTGTCAGTCTGCCCCTGGTCCCGTACGTCCCGACGCTCGCAGGGAACAGAACCTGGAAGAAAGATGCCGACATCGGCCGGAGGACATGGCTGGGGATGCTGCAGGGGGGACATCGCTGGACCACAGGACAAGGTAACTGCTGGAGGGATCCCAGAGCAATGCTGCAGGGTAATCCCGAGTGTAGCTCAGGGTTACCGCTTCTGGTACTGAAAGTTAACCCCGAGCTACACTAGGGAATACCGCCAGGGGGGTTAAGGGGGCATGGCAGGGGGGTGCTTTATGCCTACATACTTTTGCTAAAAGGTGTCCCTCATTCCCATCTCAAAAAGTTGAGAGGTATGTAAATACTGCTATTGCATCATTTAGCGCTGGGTTCACACCTATGCAATTGGTGAGGCTCATGTTTGCGTGGACAGAACAGCCCATTCATTTGAATGAGCTGATGTATCTATGGGAAATGCAGGGAAAAGGTCCCTGCACCTTTTTAAAATTGCAGCTGCAGGGAAATCGAATGGTGCTTTTGCACCATGTGATTTGCTGCAAAAGAAAATGCGCTGCATTATCAGATGTGTGAGGGTGCCCTTAAGAATTAACGGCAGCTCTGTGCATCTGCTAAATAGAAGTGTGGATTGTCTGTGGGTGCCCGCAGGTGTTGGAATCTGTGCGATTTACATGAATTCCTGCCCTCGCATATATGAGAACGTAGACTAATTTATAAACAGGAGTATGGACAATTCAAGAAAAAGCATGTCGCATGTTTTATGTGTTTGTGGCTGATTAGGTTAAACTCCAGGCAGGTAGAAACAAACACCAATGTATGCATTTACTGTAAAAATAATGTATTGTTAAACAGTGGTGATCCGAGGCAGGTGCGGGAGGTGCGGTCCACACCAGGTGACACCGACCGCACGGGGTGACACCGGACCCGCTCCACAAAAAGGTAAGTTGTAAAGATAGCCGACGATCCCTGCAGGATGGATCGGATCTGCGGATTGAGCATAATGGATCGGAGTCCGATCCATTATGCTCAATCCGCAGATCCGATCCATTCTGCGGGGATCGTCGGAGGGGGTGTCACCAAGTGATACCGCAATGGGTGACACCAACCCTTGGGACGCCTCTGTTGTTAAACACAATCAGTGTAGGTACCTGAGTAATTACAATAATTACAGGCTGATGGAAGGGGAAGTTACTTTGCTGCATTTCTTAAAGCAGTATTAAACCCAAAAGCAAACATTTGTTATATTACAGCTTATCAATTCTTAGATGTAATGGTTTTATTAGTTTCTTTTTTAGATGTATCAGTTTACAAAGATGAGACAAACTATTTAACACTGGAGGAGGTATACTGTATTGCCAAAAGTATTGAGACGCCTGCCTTTACACACACATGAACTTTAATGGCATCCCAGTCTTAGTCCGTAGGGTTCAATATTGAGTTGCCCCCCCCTTTGCAGCTATATCAGCTTCAACTCTTCTGGGAAGGCTGTTCACAAGGTTTAGGAGGGTGTCTATGGGAATGTTTGACCATTCTTCCAAAAATGCATCTGTGATGTCAGGCACTGATGTCGGACGAGAAGGCCTGGCTCGCAGTTATCGCTCTAATTCATCCCAATGGTGTTCTATCATGTTGAGGTCAGGACTCTGTGCAGGCCAGTCAAGTTCCTCCACCTCAAACTCGCTCATCCATGTCTTTATGGACCTTGCTTTGTGCACTGGTGTGCAGTCATGTTGGAACAGGAAGGGGCAAACTGTTTCCACAAAGTTGGGAGCATGAAATTGCCCAAAATGTTTTGGTATGCTGACACCTTAAGAGTTCCCTTCACTGGAACTAAGGGGCCAAGCCCAACCCCTGAAAAACAACCCCACACCATAATCCCCCCTCCACCAAACTTTACACTTGGCACAATGCAGTCAAGCAGTACTGTTCTCCTGGCAACCACCAAACCCAGACACGTCCATCGGATTGCCAGACAGAGAACGTGATAGGTCACTCCAGAGAACACGTCTCCACTGCTCTAGAGTCCAGTGGTGGATTGCTTTACACCACTGCATCTGGCGCTTTGCATTGCACTTGGTGATGTAAGGTTTGGATGCAGCTGCTCTGCCATGGAAACCCATTCCATGAAGCTCTCTATGCACTGTTGTTGTGCTAATCTGAAGGCCACATGAATTTTAAAGGTCTTTAGCTATTGACTCTGCAGACAGTAGGCAACTCTGCGCACTGTGCGCTTAAGCATTCACTGACCCCGCTCTGTCATTATACATGGGCTACCACTTCGTAGCTGAGTTGCTGTTGTTCCCAGTTGCTTCCACTTGTTACAATACCTCTAACAGTTGACCGTGGAATATTTAGTAGCAAGGAAATTTCACGGATGGACTTATTACACAGGTGGCAACCTATCACAGTACCACGCTTGAATTCACTGAGCTCCTAAGAGCGACCCATTCTTTCACAAATGTTTGTAGAAGCAGTCTGCATGCCTAGGTGCTTGATTTTATACACCTGTGGCCATGGAGGTGATTGGAATACCTGAATCCAATGATTTGGAGGGGTGTCCCAATACTTTTGGCAATATAGTGTATGTTACTGTCAAGATCACCAGGTGAAAACAAAGGGAGAAATCCTAACATAACAAAACAAATGCAGCCACCACATCTAATGATTGTTAAGCTGCAATATATTACATTTTTGGTTTTGGGTTTAATGCTGCTTTAATTCTCTTACCTGCCTCTAAAAGGATAAAGTTATTTTAAAAGGAGTTCTCAAAGTGATTTAATATAATCTATTGCATCCTAGAGTGT